AGATAATCTATTTAAATATGAATTTTATTTTATTTTTTTTTTACTTCATCTTTTCTACACGGTTCATTTGGTTTAATAAATGCTAAACCTCGTTTTCCAATACCCATTGAATAACATGTTCGATAATTATCTTCAAAAGCTCGATCAATATCATTTTGAATATTCCATAAACAAACATTTGTACCTCCACTTCCATCTTTTCTAGTAAAATGTCCAATTAAAATTTTTTCATTATTATCATTTAAAAAAATTTCAGCTGTTTTTATAATCCATTCAGAATTAAAACATATCAAAGGTATTTCAATATATGTACGTATAATTGAATATGAACTATCACGACAAAAACGAATTATTTTTGTAAGAAAATATTTTTGTTCAATATCATTTGGTTGATTTGTTATGAAATAAATATAATTATCTGTATAAAATGAATATATATATTGAACAATAAATCTTGTTTGTTGTCTTGACATAAAACGTAAAGATAAATCATCACGTGAGATTTTTTCATCATCATTTGTTGATAATATTTTCATAAAACGAGATATATTTAATGATCGTCCTGATATATTTGGTATTTGCCAACGATATGTACCTTCATTTGTATATGTAACACCAAAATAAATTAAATTCTTTTCAGGTATTATTAATGCAATTGTACTATTTATTGGATCATTAGCAACAATTGGTAATGTTGAATTAATAATAATATTTAAATCTTGATCAATTATTTGACATATACCTTGAAATATAGTTCCACATAAAAGTATATTTTCATTATGAATTGATAATAAAATTTTAATATGATTATTTATATTACATTGAGTACATGATAGATTATCAATATTTGAAATAAGATTTAATGATAATGATGTTTTATTTAATGTTAATGATGATAAACGATGTAGAAAATTATTTGTACCAACATATAAATTTTCATTAATAAGAAGAATTTTTTCAATTGAATTATTTAAATCATTTTCAATTATATCAATTGATAAACTATTCGTAGTTAATATCAAATAACTAATTAAAAAAACTGACAACATACTAAAAATAAACAAAAAAAAAAAAAAGAAAAAAAGTTAAATAAAAATTTTCTTATTCAAGATTTTAAACTTTAAGGATTAATTGTAAAATAATCTGGAATATAATCGAAGTTTTTGTTATTTAATACAATTGATGACAAAGAGGATTACTGTTTGCTGTCTATGTTTATTCATACACATATACATATCGAATGACTTCTTCTGTTCGATGTTCATCTATTCACATCCGGCATCAAAACTAATCTGTCACTTTTTTTTTTTTTCTTGTTTTTACCTACCTGACTCTCATCTGCTCGTTCGCGCATATAGAGACTTGTCAATTTTTGAAACGAGTAGACGAAGAAAGAAAAGAAATGAAGCTGTATGTATATATGTGTATATATAAAGAAAATCATTTTCTTGCTGTCGTCCACTACTTTTTTTCTTCTGTCTCTCTCTCTCTCTCTTTGTCGGTCAGTGTAGAACGAAAGAAGAAGAAAAAAACAGAAGGAAGAAACAACAGGAGGCAATTAGAGCAGATGGCCAGGTGATTCATTTGAGCAGAAAATTGAGTTTACTATCACTATGTCATAATACTAATGACTTGAACGGTTTGATCGATGATACGATGATTATCCCTCTGGATGTCAAAATTCAAAACAGAAAACAGATTTAATTAACTTATTTTATCTCTCATGTGAATAAACAATCGTTCAACGTAAGAAAGATAATTCAATAGAAATACTAACAGATGTTTTTTTTTTTTATAGAAGGTTTTCAAAATGAAATTATTCAAATTTTTTTTTAATCACACTTTTTCTTCTCATAAATAATAAGTAAAATATTTCTACTAGATTAGAGCCTGTTGGATCCTAAAGTTTTCGAACCTAGCCGAACCGTACTTTGATATTCTCAATAAAAGTTTCTAATTAGACTTGAATAGTTGCTCTGAAGAGATGAAACACTTTTTTTTCCCGTATTTGACTTCGATACCTAGTATACCTTACACATTTCACAGACAACTAGATCTCAGTAGGTTTGGCTTCGGAATAACCTAATGGGATGTATACTAGTGGAAACTTATGGACTACTGTAGAAATTCGACGATTTTTCAAATTTATTATTTTCGTTACTTGTATTGTTGATTGATTGAAGAAGGAAAATCTGCGTTAGAATATCATATAATATTTTATGTTATCAATGAAATCAAAAATTGCGAAATAAACAAAACAAGTGATTGTTCATTCATTTTAAGGGCATGAATAATCACATAAATGTAAATTACTTTTTTTTCTGTTAAGATCAGATTTCATTATTGCATTTGAAAATTTCTCGAATTTCGATACTTGCATGATACGATATGAATATTGAGTAGATTTTTTTTTCTTTTGAATTGCCATGATTCTATAACGATTTCGACAAACAACAGTCGAACTATTTGAAAATGTTAGGTATTCATTATGACTTTTCTCAATGTTTTGACATCAAAACATAAGCGATTTTCTTTGTATTGACAAGTAAAAAATGAAAAAAAAAAAAACTTCTTGATATTATAAAATATTCACATTGGCAATACTTATTATTTCTCTTCGTCCACGGTATTGATTATTTAATAGCTGAATGAGTTAGTTCGATGTTCACTATATAAAATATTCATTAATATATGATCACTTTCTTTTTCTCTTTGCCGATGAAACAATATAGATCAATGAACTCAAAAGAGATTGGTTTTAGACATATAACGAAGAAAAAAGAATAACAATGACCATATAGGAAATGTCTGGTTATAATCGACCTTTAATATTCATTGGGAAAAAAAAATGAGAACGAGACGACTTTTTTTTTGCTTTTTTTTCCAATTAGTTCCAAACTGTGAATTTGATCAAAAAAAAAAGAGATTTGAGTTATATTTTCACAAGTTAATATTGTTTTATATCAACAAATGATCAAAAGACGAAAAATATGATCAATTGGTGTTAAATTTCATCTCATAGAAATTCATAATGAAGAATTATTTCAACTATTTTCTAACTATTTAGAATTAGATTGATGATTTTATCCATAAGCAAATTGGATTATTTCTATGTTTTTTTTTCTTGTTCTATTGAATTTTCATTTTTTTCTTTTTTGTATATGTTATTGGAGAAGATGAGATTATCACAATTTATTTTTTTGGTGTAAAGCTCTTAGATAAACAAACTTCTTTAACAGGAAACTGTTTTTCTTAAGCATAAACATAGTATGTTGCTATTTCTTGGATACAAATAATTTTCTTTTTTTTTTTCAATCTAACAAATTGACTGATATTAAGGTTAACCGAAGGGTAATTTCAGTGTTAGTTTGTTTTTAATTAATGATTGATTGTTTACATTTCTTTTATTTTTTTTAAGAATAGTAATAGATGATCTTTTCTAGTTGAAGTAGGATTACAGTTCTTTCGAACACGCATGACAATAGTGACATTCATGATTATTCTACACACTGTGCATGAAGCCGTATTATGACGTTTTTGATAGCATTTGTGTTGCATCGTGTTGTAAACGGTTGAACGAGTTAGGTAACACATGATTTATAATACGAGAGAATACCACAGGGGGTCTTCGTTTCATCTTATTCAGAAAATTAGAGTACGATTCAAATGAGATACTATAACGAATATTTAATAACAGTCGACTTACTCCATTGTCGTTAATGCTTTCACAGATTTTCAAATTTATCTTACAGAGTAACAATCAACAAAATCTGTGTAGAGATGAAAAATTAAATTGAGGTTTGTTGCAGCACTCCCTTCACTGCTCTTCTCTTAAGTCAGCGAGCAACCCGTGGTGGGAGAAGAAAAACCAAAAGATAATTGTATACGTTTTTCTGGCATAAGGTAAAGGCGCATCGGTAATAACAATGCTTATATCATTTTAGAACTTTCGAAACTCTTTCAAAGCTTTTTTAGTTATCTATCAGAGTCAACATGAGGCGGATATAGGAATAAAGTATGAACTAATTGAATTATAAGTTTAGGCAAAACTTAACAGTACGTATACGTGAAAATTCATCGAGAGAAACGATGATGTACTTGGAAGCTTACTGAACGATTAAAATCAATATGTATAGCAGACTAATGTGATAGTTGAACTGATGAAACGAAGAATAGAATGACATTTGCTACTTCCTATGGTATGTATAGTATATATTATCATTAGGAGAAAGAAAAACGATATTAAATGAATATAATAAATTGGTAAAATAGGAACTTTAAATACAAACATTTTTGAAATGTTAAAATTTCAGAGCGTACGTATCAATTGTTAGCGTTTTGATTTATTCATTTATTTGGCACTTTTTGTTTAGAATAAATTATTTTAATCATTCTGACAATGTATCATAAATTTATAGCAAACAAAATTCGAGAGTTCTACACGGTCCTAAGATGGCGTCATACTGACAAATTGTTTTGTATCATATATCTGATATGATATGATATGATATGTCTGAATAATCAAGATTGGATTATGAGTTATATAGTGACAGATATCAAGTCAATGATTCGAAAAAGAACAGGTGCATGAACAATGATAATCATTGTTTTCATTTTTGTTAGAATTGTCGAATATCCTATTTCATATGCCGAAATAAAATGAACATAAATAATCAAAAGTAAATGGTTTATATTCGTCCATGAAAATGACTAAATCTAACACCATCTAGTATTCATAGTCAAAAACACCATCTATCGGTTATTGAAATATAAATATAAAATAATCAATCATTTGATAATTTGTTTTCGTTATTATCATCAATAGAAGATTTACAATTTTAATAAAGCCTTATAATTAATATTTGAATAAAGTCTAAAGAAATAATTCTCTTTGGTCAATATAAAAGTCGAATCAAATTCTTGTTGATAAGACCTCGATATGTGTTTTTTTATTGACCAGGTGAATCGATCTTTCGTGCAGTAAATACTGCGCGTTGATCATGCCAAAAGCTAATTCTTCATTATCATTTGTTTCTCCTCATCCACCAATTCCACTTCCTGATCATCATAATCATCCAGTGACACGTCGTTCTTCTACAGTACTCAATGAAGCCTCAGGTCTTCCTCCACCTGCTAATGCAGTGTCCTCGAATATACATACCGAACATGAAAATGATGATTATCAAAATAAACAAATAATTAGTTTACCCTTCAATTGGCAGGTAAATATATATTTCTTAAAATAAGAATTATTCTTTAAATTTCTTTTATTTATATTGCGAGCAAAATTGGAATTCGTTCAAATTCTGAATTAGTCTGAACAAAATTAGAATTTTAGTTTTGATCAGATAAAATTAGGATTTCAATATCAATCAGTATTTCTTTGGGCAGATTTAGGATTGTAATTATGCCCAATGAAAATTAAAATTCGACTAGAGATACAATTATACAATCGAAATAAATAAAATCTGAATAGAATAACAATTTTTAATCAACAATATCTTTCTTTTTTTTTTTTTTTATTTTCGTAAATACTTTACAAGTTAAAATACTTCAGTCAATTCATCCATATTTGTACAGTTATCTCTTTTTTTAATGATATTGTGTCAAACAAAAAAAAAATTCAATTTTTTCTTCTATGAACATTGTTTTCTATATTACTGACATTTATAATTGCGTGTACGATCGATTGTTGAATTCGATTCAGATGCTTTCTTTTTATTAGGTTGTAACGCGTACATGTATATTGATACTACTTATTAGCACGACAACCATGACTAAAGTTTTCTCTTTTTTTTTTTGTTTTTCATCCAACTTTACTTTGAGTGAAACACATGACTATATGAATTTATCTCTACTCGAAGCCTAATTTTGTCCGAACACAATTAAAATTACAATTTTGCTCGAAAAAAAAAAAAAAAAAAAAATCGAAATTTGACAAAATTCCAAAGTTTCCCACAACATATACATATATATAGGCTTCAAAATTTTCTCTCAATGATCGTATATCTGCATTATGTTTAAATGAATATATGGCTGATGTACATTTTGAGTTAAATGACAGTGATGAATTAATTCCTGCACATAAATTTGTTTTAAGTGTTGGTTCTTGTGTATTTGAAGCTATGTTTCAACGAAATAATGAATCATTATCATCAATTATACATGTACCTGATATGGAAACTTATGCATTTCGTACATTATTACGTTTTTTATATGGTGATTATAATACTCCAGCATTATCAATAACACATGATACTGTTATGTCAATATTATATGGTGCAAAAAAATATTGTGTTATTGGTCTTGAACGTCTTTGTGTAGATTTTTTAAAGAAAAATATTTCTATTGAAAATGCATTAATATTATTAAGTCAAGCACGTTTATTTGATGAAGCACAATTAGCAGCACAATGTTTAGAAGTTATTGATAAAAATGCAATGTATGCATTACAAACACCGGAATTACTTGATATCGATTTAGATACATTAATGGCTATTTTAAAACGTGATACATTAGGTGTGAGAGAAATAAAATTATGGCAAACATGTATAGCATGGGCAAAAAATAAATTATCAAATAATCAATCAATAACATCAGATATGATTCGACAAACATTAGGTGGAGCTTTAAAATTAATTCGATTTCCATTAATGAGTCAAGAAGAATTTGCACAAGGTCCAGCACAATCCGGAATTTTAACAGATAAAGAAGTTATTTCAATATTTTTATATTTTAGTTTACCATCAAAATCATATAAATTATGTGACTTTGATGATGAACCACGAAGTACATTTAAAGAATATATTGTTAATAGATTTCGTGAAGGTGAAGTTGAACATCGTTGGTCTTATTCAGATGCATTTGATAGAATTAGATTTAAATGTGATAGACGTTTATTAATAGCTGGTTATGGAATTTATGGAAGTATAAGAGAACCATTTGAATATAATGTTCATATACAAGTATATAGAACTTTTAATATATATTTTTTTTTTCTAGAATTTTTATTTTATTTAAATATTAGTTACATCATCTTGATTCTGGTCGAATATTAGGTGAAAATGAAACAACATTTATGGCTGATGGATCATCATCAACATTTCGTGTATCATTTAAAGAACCATTAGAAATTCAACAAGGAGAATATTATGTTGCAAGTGCTAAACTTAAAGTATTTGTCTTTCTTTTTTGTTTTGTTTTATGATGTGCTATAAAAGGAAAAAAATTCGATTTATTTTTAGGGTCCAGATTCATTTTATGGTATTAATGGTTTACGTAGAATAACGCATGATTGCGGTCTTGATGGTAAAGTAACATTTCATTTTGCATATGGTAAGTTTTTTTTATCTTATTATTTTTATTTGCTTTTTTTTTTAATGAATTTTGTTTTTTGTATTATTATTTTTAGCATCCGGAGAAAACAATGGATCAAATGTTGATGATGGACAAATACCTGAAATAATTTTTTGTCTATAATATTTCTTGTTATTCTTCTCTTCTCATTCCACATTTGTTTTGTAGACTAGTAGATAGTCTATTTTTTTTTTCTATAAATATAAATATAAACAAATAAATATATATATATACGTATATATATATATATATATATCAATCAGTAAACGAAAACTTTTTGGTACGATAGATGAGAACAATTAAAAACGTAGCCATACAAATTGTGAGGAGAAAAACTCGCTGAGTTAGAGTTCGGCAATTCGAAAAAATTGAAACCATTTATTCATCAGACCGATACAAAAATTCTTATAACCTACTGAGAAATTTTCAGTTTTTCATTCGTAATATTCAATATTGCAGTATATTTTTATCATGTTGTTTTTTTTTTCAGTACTGAAATATGCGGCGTCTTTAGTCTCAATAATTTAATAGTGAAAAGTTTTCAAAATAGATTTACAATTTTCGTATTTATCTGATGATTTAACAGTTTTGGCTCCACGTGATATTGTGAAAACTGAACCACAACAGCTTTTTTTCTCATTTTTAGTAACTGAAACCAGCAAACTCTACAGTGGCTGTTAAAACGTTTTCGAGGCTAAATTTTGTCCATAAGTAGAGGAATGCAAATATTAGAGAAATCCTAACAGAGTTTGAGTACAAGTTGCGATTTGGCTGGCATATCGACGTTTTACGATAATTATTCTGATGCACTTCATTTTTTCAGTAAAATAAAATTTTCAACTTTTAACCTGAAACTTAGCTCATATAAAAGCGTTCACTAGACTATCTCTTATTTCGCAGTTAATTTATTCGAAAATCTGAAATACGAGAACAAGCTAGTCTAGTTGATGTTTTGATGCGAGCAAAGTTTCACAATGATTACAGTAATAAGTCGATATTTCAGTCAAATCACAATTACCAATCATGTTCTTTGAGGATTTTTCTACTTTATACATTCCATATTTGTGGACGAAATTCGAGCTCAAACGCTTTTCAACACCTAGGCAGATAATCTCGTGAGTGGTGGATATTTTATACATTCTGTCTATGTTATACAGTAAAGATTTGCCAGAATTTTACTATACATTAGTTGACGAGGAAAGTTCTCTCAACTAATTAAACATTTTCGGGTCGAAACTACGTGCAACATATAGGCTCAGATGAGTTTCAAATATTCTTAAAAGTCTTGGATTCCTTAACTTATTTTTGCGTAGATGCTTCACATTTACGATGGTTCTTAAGTGTATGCTTTAGTTCACTTCAGGAATACTAGGAAAAATTGTTTGTCGAGTTTCAACTTAACGCTTTGTATAGGGTTAGAACTTAATGGGAATAGCTTATTGTGAATGTTTTAGGTCTTTTGATTTGCTTCTATGCTGAAATAAGAGCATTGAATCTACTATTATAGATAAATGATGTAAAAGACTGGTTTTTTACCATAGATTTATCTTTGAAAGATAGAAACAACGACAAGATCTGAAACATTCACAAGAAACTATTCTTGTTAAGAACGATATTCGTGCAAAGTTTCAAGTCAAACTTCGAAAATCAGTTTTTCTGATACTTCTAAGGGAAATTATGGCATTCATTTAAAAACTATCGTAAAGTTACAGTATCTCTGTAGCATTATTTAACTATTCAGTTCCCTGAAATTAATTCAGTGAAATTAGTGTCGAGTCGACTACAGAAAAAGCTTATCTAGGTGTTGAATGTTACACTGGCATGACTTAATTTGAGTGTACCCATCTTTCTATAAAGGTAAAGAATGAGTCGGAAATAAATCACTCATGTTAAATGATAGAATACCGATACTTATTTTTAATCTAATTTTTTTACGATTGTTCACACTTGTGTCTTGATTTTATCTACATAAAGCTGAAAAACTCATTGTCATGAATTATTTTCGGAAAAATCAGTCTTTTTAAGAATATCATATAGTTAAAAATTTGTAAAAGTGTCTATTTTGAAATTGAAATAAGATATTTTATTTCTACATTAGTATCGTTTCCAATTTGTTTATATTCATTTTCTTTCTACAATATGAAATGGTGTGTTTCGACTCCAATGCGAAATCATTTATTCCGATTAAAACGTCCCGGCATTACATATTTTTAATTACTACTCTGAAAATAAGTCTAATCGGCAGTAGTATATATCGGCCGCACTAACACCATGATAATCAGTCTGCGTAGATAAATGAAATCAGATTTTTTTAAGTGTTCTGAAAAAATATAATTTTCCAGCTCAAATATCTTAGCTCGAACGGTGAGAAAAAAGTTAAATTTTTTATGAATGTATAGCCTAATAAATTTTTCGGGCGATATTCGGGGACGATTTTGATTCGATGCTTTATTTCTTTAAAAAGATAATTTTTATGAACCGATCAAAAATGAGCAAATACTGGATAAAGGATTAATAAAATAATTTCATTCTAATTATAACTCATAATATGATTTCAATTTCTTCATAAGAGAATGAGATAGAACACTGTCCTTTTAACTAATTTGCATTTCGAAATAAAATAAGGGCGATTGATTTTTGACTAACTCTCCAACAGAAATAGATATTAATCTTCGATTTTCACAGTTAGCAAGAGGCAACCAATTTGCATCTTCCCCTATAATAGTTAATAATACTACCTCACAAGTCTAATGAACAATCAACGAAATTCAAAAGAGTACTTAAAATGCTTTGAAAAATATATATGGAGTTTCAATTATAAGGAATCCAAGACGAAGAAACCCGAAAGCATATCCCACTACCAGGTGTTATCAGACTCTTTATGTGTGTCATGTGTAAATGAATCTTCCTGTGCATGCAGAACTTTCTAGTCATGATGGCGTCACCATTGCGGTGACTGGTCGCGCACGTGAAAAAAATGATAGAAATCAAATTTCTTCCTTTCTTTGAAGAACCATCTTTATTTCATTCATCGTGGTTTATTAGATGAAAATGATAAAAAAATTAATCATCGCAATGAGTATATTCGATAGAAAATCGATGTATTCTAGCGTTGCCATAATCAACGACATAGAGATTGCTTTGCTGATTGAATGACAAACCCATGGGAGAGAACAGCTGATATGCTTCTTCTCCATAATTATTTCCACCAACAATGATAGTACTCTGTTTCGCTCCTTCAGGCCAGCGCATCACTTGATTCTTCCACAAGTCTACCACAGAGACCGTACCCAACATATCGACGAAAAATCCTCTAGGACTGGACAATTGTGTTTCAGCCTTTCCTGCATTTTGACCCCCCGACGACGACTATCCCTTCTGTTGCATCTTTATTCCATTTCATCACGCGATTATTGTCAAAATCCGACACGTAGACCGCCTGTTGTCTATTGACAAAGATGTCGGTCGGATAGTTGAGTTGATTAAGACGAACACCTTTACCGTGACCACCAGCAACGAGAGTTTCATCGATGTTTCCTATTTTATATTGTCTTACTATTTTATTGTAATTGTTTCTAAGCGTCACCATTTGCAATGAAGTTTATCTAATCGAGACAATAAATTAGTGTACAGGGTGTCTCAAAAGTCAGCTAACAAAAAGAAAACTATATCTCCACAAAGTTATAACTAAATGAGCTGATTTTTTTCCTGATGGTACAGGATATTTCCAAGTTTTTATTCAACCAGTATAGTATCTTATGAACACACTTGAAATCTAGCATTATCTACTTCAATACGAAATTTGACCTTTTTTCCATACACTCCTATCAGTAGTCAATCACAAAAAATAGAAACGTATCCTACAGCTTATTCAAAAATTCCATTTTGTAGAGCTTGTTATGATGATCATTTTGGTAAAACAAATTGTTCTATTTTCATCAAGAAATGTCGGTATCAGAGTCAAAATACTAAAAAAAAGTCGTATTGCTTCGACCAGCACTATTTGCCGTTTTCCAGTATTTGACTCGGAAAACATCTTTCCTTGATGAACATAGAACATTTTTTTTAACTAAAACCATCAGCAAAGAAGAGTTCTAAAAACTATGATTTGCCAATAAGTTTTCGAATTTCTTTGCTTTTTTGTTTACTATACATAGGCGTATTTTATCAAACTTTAACCGTAGTCACTAGTGTTTTCAGATCTTTTCAGTGCGAAAAGATTTGAGAGGATTCTGTGAAGTTAGATAAAATAGAGAAAACTAAAGAATTCAAATAAAGTATTACACAATTCTGAAAATCTAAGAACAGGAATTCGCATGAGATTACAGAAACTCAAAATCTATAGTGTATCTTTGGCAGAAATTTGACTTTTCTCTTTTAAATGAATAATAATAATTCTATGTGATGCTATTAAACCTTTTATTGATGAATAAAAACTTGGAAGTATCCTCTACCATCAGAAAACAAATCAGTTCATTTGATCATAATCCTGTGAAGATATGCCGTTTTCTTTTTGTTAAGTGACTTTTGGTACACTGTATACAGATATATTCAATTATTCAGTGTAGTCCAACTATTGCACTGATGTAGTTCACAATTCATTGTTGATACGCAGTAAATAATATGAATGATTGTTATTTATTTGATTCTCATTTATATTTTTGTGTTGTTGAACTTATTTTAATGTATAAAATAAAAAGATGGTGATTGTTATGGGTGGTTGCGAAAATGCCTAAAAATAACTGTTTTGTTATAAACTCTAGGCGAGGCGAGACAGCGATGAGCAACTCGCCAGCATGGCGAGGCGGTGGCGAGCCGCTTTTTTGACTGACTCGCGGATCTCTGATTGCAAAGTAACTTTGCGGCAATGGAACTTTAAAAAGTTCACTACAACGCCCCGCGAAGGGTAGCTCACCTGAATTTTGAAAAAAAAGTTCAGATGGGTGCAGCCATCCTGAACCAGGTGTTTCGGCTCACGTACTCTTACAAAAACCGCGATGTACCGTGGTCTAAAAAAACGCGGTTTTCATCGGTTTTAGAAACCGCAAAAGTCAGACCTTTTATGCGGTTCGTGGCGGTTTTTCAACAAAAATTTTTCCGTGGGTAGTTGCCAATAAATATTTGATTAAAAATGTCATTGTCAATTGTTTTTATGCACCGAGATTATGTGTCAAATTTAAGATAGATTTTCAATATATATTATTTCAAAATGAGATATTTTCGAAAAATTCCTAATGCAAATATATCCTTTTTTTTTGTTTTTATTTTTGCTCATCTACATCAAATACAGGAGAGAGAGAGAGATAGAAAAGAAAAAACACGCATATATGCGATTTCAGTCTATTTTCTTTGACAATTAACTAATATGCTAAGGTGAAATTGATTTATTGATAAAAATGAAAAATAGATGTGTTGAAAATGAATTAATTTCAATGATAGATTAGTTTTTACTTTAACCCTTTGAGTACGGGATTATTTTTCTATAGTAAAAAGGACGAGAGATGATTGATAGAGAAAGAGGCCCGATAAAAATTTTTGATTCGAAACCCTAACTATATTATACCAAACGAAAAACGTCAGTGAGTTGGGTACTTTTTGTGATGGAA